ACTGGGAAGGGGAAACAAGGGAGTATCCCTTATTTCTGTGGGTATTTCCTACTCTTTGGCTAATAAGAGTTTGAGCACTGGTATTTGTGCACTGAACACAGGAGACTCTTCCCTTTCTTGGCAACAGACCCCTTTCTCCTCCTCCACTACCAAACCAGTTTCCTTTCACCGCTCCTGTTCATGGGCTTCTTGATTCTTGCACAAGACCTTTCCCTTCCTCTCCAAACATTAAACAGACAAGAGTTGTGCAACTTCTTGTATTCTTTACAGTACTTGAATCACAAAATACAGTTGCTTTTCTTGAAGTAGCAACCCTGTTGACTTAGATCTCCTATGCCTTCTTTTCTCATCTCACAGAGAGGATTTCCAGAATACTTACTTCTTACTTCTTTTATGTACTCCCCCTAGTATTTTAGCTTTGAATTCTTCAGTTTCCCCTATTTCAGGGAAGACACTTGTGGCTAAAGCTCTGCCTGACTGAACATAAGAGTGTTTTGTTAAAAGGTTACATTTGCCCCCCTCTGCAGCATCCATGATCTCAGGTGTCAAGACAACCTTTCACTCAGTCAGTATTTAAACCCACACTAAAAAACAGAAACACAGACCACACTGGATTACCCAAACTTTTAATAACTTCAATATTGTGAATATCAAGAATTAAAGTTGATAAATAATAGCAGAGGCAAGGTAAAAGCCCAGATTCTACTTAGACAACAGTAATAGTGCCTTTTTCTTTCACTATGCCAAATACATTTTTTCTAGTTTCTACAAGTTTCTTTAAATTATGAATATTTACATTACTTTAATACTTAAGGCAGAAATCTCTACAGGTGGTAGGAACTGAGACAAACCATAACTGTTTTATTTAAGTGGCCAACTTTGTCTAAAAGTCAAAAAGGTGTTTGCTGAGACTGTGTTTGTCAAGGCAGACATGCCAATAAGGAAAGCTGCAGAGTTCTTCAAGAACAGTTTCAATACACTGGAGGAGAGGAACATCTCAAATATTTTTGGGACATTTACAGGTTGCCACAATGTGACAAATTTCACTTCAGAAACCGTCAGCTCCTCTGACGTGCCCTACTGGGATGTAACAAACAGGACTGGCAATAGGATTCTTACTCTACCTTAGAGGAACTGCTAGTTTACTATTTCTGGAAGAGGAGGCATTAGTAAGTGAAACTTCTTTTCTCCAATTGGGTTCCAACGGCATCATAACTATTTCAGCTATACAAAAAAGCCTGAAGGAACTTCTGCAAGCACATTCCAAAACTCTTAAACAAAAATTAAAATGAAATAAAAGATTCCAGTCAACTACTTTTTGTTGTTGTGCTCTATAGAGTGAGAGATCTTTCAGATAATCACAATACTCTGTCAACTACCTTCCTGAGTACAAAAGCTTAAGCATCTCAGATTTAGTCTGCAAAATGCGAATCTACCCTACCCCTCTCTATAGTATGCCCAGGAAGTTAAGAAACCAAGGCTCTGGCAAACTAAGGTAAAGAATATACCAGAGGCCAGACATTCAGATTCCTGCAAGTAGTTCCCTTTTAATTTTCAGCTCAAGGACTTTGCACTCAAGAACCTCTACTGACCTCAACAAAAGCAGAGTCAGGCTGTTCCTTGGCTATATGACAAAACCTAAGCCACCTTCCAGGATGTCAGACCTAGTACCTTGCGATTCATCTGCAATCCAGTACAATTCTGAAAATAAATGCTAGGACCTCTGCATAATACTCAAAACAGGAAGACCCATTTTTGTCCTACTTTGAATCTGAGTGGTTCAAAGCATGCCCATATGACGTGTTTTGCAGCCATCTTGTCTTGATGCAAAAGGCAGAGATGATGGAAGCAAAGTCAAAAAGAAAACAGACTCTTCCAGCTGATTCTACATTGAAAGGTACATGTTGGTGTAATTACTCAAATTTCTAAAAGTAACTCCTAAGATTGACAAAAGTAGTTTAGACAAACTGGGTCAAAAAGATGGCTACACACTCTCACTCTGGAGGCTAAAGACGTTTAGGCCTGTTTCCTCCACCTTCCCCCCCAGTTAGTTTCCCCAACCCATCGCCAATGCTTGGGAGTCAATAAATCTAAACTTTAGCCAGCTTCATCCATTCATTCTTCAGCTTGTGCATCTCACCCCACTGAACCAGTGGTGTCCAATACAACAGAACTACCAGCAGCATACTACAATGCACTGCTACATACCATGTATATGGTTTACATTAGGTCTAGTTATATTACTAATCTTCCATATCAGTTCTATTCTGATTGGATTTATTTTACCCTGTCTTCTCTCTCTCGCTTGTCATACAATCAGAATTTATTCTTGGCCCTTGATTAAATTGACCATTAAGTCAGAATCTTCTTACTGTCTGCTCAGGAAACCCATTCTCTGAAAGTTGCATAATCCTGTGTATTTCTGCTACCAAAACAAAAAAGTGTTGGTCAAATGGTCTGGTAGACTCTTAGCAGTGGCACTTCTGGGTTATGCTCATATTAAAAATTTTATTTCCCATCCTGCAACTTCAAAAATCTTGAATTTTCCAGCTCAGAGAATAAAAGTAATGCAAATATCTGATATATGTTTAATGCAGAAATAATATTAATAGTTTTATTGATACGTTTTCAAAATGTCCTCCAACAGTTAGTGAAAGGGAGTGTGAACCAGCTGTGAACACATTTGGAAGATTAATTAAGTGACAAAATTGTTCTTTAGGGTTAACAATATGCTTGCTGTATTTGATTGTATGTATTCAACATAGCTAACAGCAGAATTGATACTATGTGCATGCCAAATGCATCATGACAGTTTTAAAACAGAAAAATTGTAGACCTGAGGTTTACACTTCTAGCAGTAATCTCTGCAAAGTTAACATTTTCATGGGTGTTGCCACATTATAGTTATATGCGTAGCTTCCGCTGTTGAATTGTAGGAAAAACCTGAGCCATTACATGTCTAGCTGTGCAGAATGATCTTCTGCCAAAATTAACAGAGTTTGCTTTATACAGACTGTATCCCTGCAAGAGCTAGCTCCTGCTAGTTTTTCTCCAAAATGTCTGAAAGTGAAGCAACTTTGAGAGTATTCTCTCTTTAAAGATAGTATCAGAAGGTATTATTTGATGAGACCATAAGAATACATACCTCATTTACATATGGACATTTTATTCCTTGTGCAGGATAGAAAGGCTTATTTAGATCAGGTAAAGCATGTTTGAAGTCTAAGTATTTAAACAGTATTAGTTCAAACTGTCTCAAGAACAGCTGCCATTTCTTTGAACTGCCTGAAAAAATTCTGGAAAAGGAAAAGTTAATGTTAATTTTAGCTACATAAGAACATGCACTGTAGTTTAAATAATCAAGTTAACACTACTTCTTGTCTGAGTTTTTTTTTTTTTTTTTAACTCATAACCACCCCCAGTTCTTTGCAATGATCAATCTTTTCCAGCATGTTTTGTACTAGTCAGCCTTTTGTTACTGTCACTAATAACACTGCATGGCCTCATACCTTATTTGTGTAGGTTTGTTAGGAAAAGAAAATGTTTTGAAAAGTTGGAAAACGTGCTTTAAGACTCATGTACTGCACCCACCGAAAAGTTAGAATGTATGTCAAGCTAGGAGTAGAAACACTTTGGGCACCTAGTATGCAGAGTCCATTTCTTGAAGTAGTTAAACCATGCAATGATACATTACATGGTTTCCAGAAGATACTGAGAACTTATATATTCTAACACAGGGGTGGGCAAAATCTGGCGTGCCAGGCCATTCTATCCAGCCTGTGGGGCTCCTAAAAAGTTTAGAAAATATTTATCTGCTCCTGGCTGCCTGTCAAAGATGACAGGAGGCAGGGGGAG